CCTTGTTTGGATGCATATTCGAAAGGGCCTCAAAAACTTCCTCAGAGCTAGGCACTCTAGTCAACTCGGCATTCATTTCATCCGACACAGCTCGCACAATGCCAGAAAAAGCCTCATCAAAATCCGTGGGCAGGCTTGAAGTAAAAATATTCTGGAAATAGTCACAAATGACCCCTTGGATCTCATCATCATTATCCTGCACCACCCCATCCGCGTCCTCCAGGCTATCTATCCGGTTTCACTGCTTTCTCTGATTGGCTTTGTGCTGAAAATAGGATGTATTTTTATCACTATCCTTTAGCTCATTAGCTCTCGCACGGGCATGCCAAAAAGTCTCATCTAAACAGTGTAATTCATCTAGCTCAGCAACAATCTTCTTGCACGCACTAAGCATAGCCCTATCAGGTTCACAACATTGCCACTCACCAAGCTCCTTCTCTTTCTCACTGATCTTCTTTCGTATATCCCCAAAAGATTTTCTTGCCCACACACGCAGATTGGATGCACAACCCTCGATCCTATCTTCCATCATAAGACCCGCACGTTCCTCCCACGCTTTCTTAATAACCGTATGGCATTCCGGCTTAGCTAACCATAAAGCTTCAAAGTGGAACTTTTTTTTCCTCCTTCTACGAATTCGTCCCTCTCTTGCAACAAAATGGGAGTGTGATCTGAAAGATACAACGGCAAGACCTACACATAGTGATTGGGGAAGAGGTCCAACCATCCTTCGCAAGCAAAAAATCTGTCCAGCCTTTCTCTGATTACCCTTCCCGGGTCATTCCCTCGCTGCCATGTAAAAATACATCCTCTGTACCCCAAATCAAGAATATTACAAGCATCTACCACCTCACGAAATAAATCCATTTTTCTTTCACTTCAAACCGCACCACCATACTTCTCTTCCTCAGCCAATATCTCATTAAAATCACCAAAAAAAGTTATAGGCACATCAATACTTTCCTTCAACAACTGCATTAGCTCAAAAGTAAGGTGTTTTTGTCCATTCTCCGGCCACCCATACACCCCCACCGCTGCCCAAAGAGGCACATCTAACTCGTTTCGAATAACTACTGCAATGTGATGATTAGAATAGGAAAAAATATGAGCATTAACTCCTTGCCACCAAAGACCCACACCTCCCGAATTACCATTACTACTCACACATAAACCATCTTCAAAGCCATACCTTCCTCGTATAGTCTCAAGTCTATTCAAATCTATCATAGTTTCCATCACAAAAACTATATTTGGGCGGTCTCTCCAACACCATGATTGTAGTTTACGAACTTTCCGGGGGTTGCCCAAACCCCGACAGTTTCCAACTTAGGATTTTCATTGTTGTTCGCGGGATTGGGTGTTTCCAACCTCCGCTACTTCAAGATTTGTGAGCATATCCATACCACCTCCCTCCATCCTTGACCTCTTTCTTCCTTCTGACAACATCTCTATAACTTCCCCTTCTTCACCATCACCTTCCTTCCTTTTTTCCCCCACCCGAGCATAATTTGATACATCCCCAGTCATAGCATCATCATCATTGTGACGAATAGTCACTTTCTTCAACTTCCTCATCATTTTCCCCACCTCCTTACACTTTGTATTGCTCCCCTTCGCACCCACCACAAAGCTAACTGGTCCTCCCCCTTCATCGAGTTTGAAATCACCACCTTGCTTAACTGAATCTAAAACAGGTTGTTCAGGCATATTCAACCCATCATCACATGCCATATTTCGCAACGTCCCTACATCCAGAGTCTCATCATCTGCCCTAGGGGATATCTGTTGATAGGCACCAATGTTAGCAGCCACAGAGTTATCTATTAGTTGCCTGCTTGTCGTGGTTTTTGCAATAAAAAGTTTTCGAGCATAGGTTTTACCTCTCCCATTACCCCTCTCACCCACTAAACCCTGCACCTTCCACGGAGAAAACACTCTCTGACCTTCACTAAACCTCCTCCGAGCAATCACATCATCCTCATTCTCATCACAATCCTTCTCGCCATGACCAAGCTTACCACAACAATAACAGAAAAGTGGCAAATTTTCATATCTCACAATCACTTGCTCCTTAACTCCACCCCTCATCTTCAACAGAATTCTATCCTTCAGTGGCTTTCGGGCATCTAGCAACACCCTAAGCCTTAAGGATTTGGTAATACCTTCAGCAACATCATCACCTAGGCTCATAAACGTGCCTAATTTGTTTCCAGTAGCTTTTGCATTCTCAGCATTATTCCTCCCGCTAAAAGGCAGATCATAAATCCTAACCCAGAAGGGGATAAAAAATAGCGGTATCTCAGACGATTTTACATCCCCTTGCGCATCATTAAGGATAAGGGCATGTCTATCAAAGTGTCATGGTTGTGCATCCATGACCTGTGCTTTGTCTCTCCAATGGTGAAATTGGAAAAAGAAAATATTTTTGTCAATACAATTCGCCTCCATACCATGCTTAGGGTTCCAAACTTGTTTCATCATGGTCATAAGGGCATTCGCATTCACATGTCTATCAGTCCAGACTCGGCCAACCACACCTAGCACAACCTTTGCTTCCTCTTCATCCCCACCATCAACCACCCAATCGATCTCGGCTTCATCATCAGTAATTGGTGTCTCGTTAACAATTTTGTCACAATTATCATTGATTAGAGCCATAATCAATCTAGGAAACCGAGATCAAAAACCCCCTAAAGAGGAAGAAAAACCTAGCAGAAAACTAGAAGAACCCTCCCAAGAGTCGGCACTCTAGAGGGAAAAAGATACTCGTTAATTAGTAACAAGTTATCTAACAATTAAACATGTAGTTTAATTAAACATGCATTTTAACATGCCATAAATAAAAGTGTGGTCCGTATCATCATGCCAAAATATAATTTTCCAATCCATAAACCATCACAAATAAATCATGCTTCACAATTCAATCACCAACACCAATGTTTCACAATTCTAAACATAGACCTTAGCATGATACTGCTTGTAATTGATTTAAATCAAGCCTAGAATGATACTACATCACCAAAATATACTAAGTACGCGAACGTGTACCTCAAATAAGCCCTTAAAGTAGGCGATTACACTACAACAATTCCCGAATCAAGTCCCCTACATAAAGGGACAATAATACTTTATTAATTCTCCTTGTATACACAATTTCCAGCAACTTAAATTTACTTTAGACTAGTTAAAATAATCTGAAAATTATTTAAAAACCCCTAATTAAACTCCTCTTTAATGGGTAATCACACCCTTTTATTAAAATCACAATTATACTACTCTAAATAAAATTCGTATTATGCATCTTCATTATCGAGGGCTACACTCGCTCATTAGATTTCTAATGTTGAAGACGAAAAAAGCCGGGTAGGAGGGGTTGTTTGAGGGAAGAGGAGGAGGGGGAGGTGGATGGACGTCATCACTGGCATTGGTGGCTGTAGGATGCAGACATAACATGGTGCGTGGACGGCTAGGCTATAGGATTGATTAGGGTTTTGAAAGAAGAAAGAAGAGAAACTCTGATCTAAAAAGAATCTGATACCATGTACTATTGTAATTCTCCTTGAGTGGAGGCTTTTGATTCATTGAATATATATAGGTATTTACAACCTAATCATGAGATACCTAAATTACACAAAATATATCACCAAAAACCTCCTTTCACTTTAAATATTACTATAGATAATCATTATATTATTATTATAATTATTATTATTATAAAATAATATTTAATTATTATTTTTATTGAAAATTAATAATTAGTATTATCAATAAATATTAGTTATTATCTTTAAATATTAATTTTTATAATAAAAAATCAATTATTATTATTATTATTATAATAATTAATATTATTAGTAATAAGTATTATTATTACTGTTATCATTATTATTATTATTAAATATTAGTTATTATTATTATAATTATTAAATATTAATTATTATTATTCATAATACTATAATTATTAAATGTTAAATATTTATTATTATTGTTATAATTCAATATTAATTATTATTTTTATAATTATTAAATATTAATTATTATTATTCATAATAATATAATTATTAAAATGTTAAATATTTATTATTATTGTTATAATTAAATATTAATTATTATTTTTATAATTATTAAATATTAAATATTTATTATTATTAAATATTTATTTTTAATAATATTATTATTCTTAAATATAAATTATTTATTTATTATTATTATAAAATATTAATTTTTAATAATAATAATATTATTAAATATTAATTATTTATTATTATTAATATTAAATATTAATTTTTAATAATAATATTATTATTAAATATTAATTATTTATTATTATTAATATTAAATATTAATTTTTAATAATAATATTATTATTAAATATTAATTATTTATTATTATTATTATTATTAAATATTAATTTTTACTATTATTTTTATCATTAAATATTTATTATTTATTATTATTAAATATTAATTATTTATATATTCAATATTAATTATTATTTTTAAATAGAGCAGGGCAGAGAAGATTTCAGCAGAGCAGAGCAACTCTAAAGAACGGGGCCTAAATTCTCATTAAATTGACAAAACCACGCAAATCTTTTTCTCTTTTGTTTCTTTGTATTTGTATTACTAAAGGCATGTTATCTTTAGATTATCTTCATTTCAGTTCAGTTCAGTTCAGTTCCAATAAGTTCAGTTCAGTTTTTAAATTCCTTTTCTCATAAAATATTCATTTCATCTCAATTCAATTCAATTCAATTCAATTCATTTGAGTCAATTAGAACAGGTCCCAAATCATCTTATATTCATCCATATGCATTTTCACATGCATAAACTAGTTTGATGATTATTATCTTCGGTCGGATAGAAAAAGTATTTTCGGAATGAGAAAAATAAAAAATCAACACTCAAGACCATGCAAAGGAGCCACCACACATCTACATCCGCCACGTTCTCTACATGCACCTAGCAATTTCTTAGCTTATACCACGTTATATAAATTTCTCTTCTACATATATATGTACACCAAACTCTTAGTTTGATCAACTACAATTTAAATTCAATAGTTTGGAGTACAACAAAATTAAAGAGGAAAAAAAAAATGCCAGGAATAACAATAGGAGATGCGGTGCCAAACCTAGAAGTAGAGACTACCACTGGCAAATTCAAGCTTCATGACTACTTTGCTGATAGCTGGACCATTTTCTTCTCTCATCCAGGTTTTTTTCTATTTCTTTGCTGTTTTACTAACTTATTACTAGTTGTTGTAGAGCTGATCAGATCATAAGTGAGATGGGGCTGGGCTAGGCTAGGCTAGGCGAGACGAGCACCCTAGCCCGGTTTCAGCCTAGATTTATGTATACTCGAGAGTATAATAGATTATGTTGTTATCAGATAATTTACTACCTCTGTTTAATATTTTTTTGCTGCAAATAATAAAAAAGCAAGAGGTATGATACACTGATAGTAGACAATTTAGTTGAATAAAAGAAGTGCATGCATAGATTAGTAAGATCACATAAAAAAATAAATTAAAAAATTTAATGACCACTTGAAAAGTTGAAATAGAGGGTCATGGCTAGCGAGTAATAGATCAAATCTTGGTTTACGTAGCCAACAATATTTTTGGGATATGATTAAGGCTTTGATTGTTGTTGGTTCTTGCTCATGTATTTATTCAATTTGAGTCATTATTGTTATTTCTAAATAAACTAATTATGTATGTATGTACTTAAAATTGTGTATTTGAACTAGGTGACTTTACACCGGTTTGTACCACGGAACTAGGAATGATGGCAGCTTATGCTGATAAGTTCTCGAAGAGAGGGGCCAAGCTTTTGGGCTTATCTTGTGATGATATTTCCTCTCACAAAGAGTGGATCAAGGACGTCGAAGCCTATTCCGTATGGTTTTTTTTTATTATTTATACTCTTATCGTCTACACATGTTTTAATTTCCGTTTAAATTTATTTGTCACGTTATTACTATCAACGTGTCTATTAATTTAATTTAATTTAATTTGGATTGAGTTGAGGGATTACGTTTTTCCATTGATTAGGGAGGACATAAGGTGACGTACCCAATAATAGCAGATCCAAAGAGGGAGATAATAAAGCAGCTAAATATGGTGGATCCTGATGAGAAAAGCTCCAATGGACAGCAACTTCCTTCTCGTGCTTTACATATTGTTGGTCCTGATAAGTTGGTAAATTTTTCTAACTTAGCTTTCTTAATTTTTTTATTTTTTTATTTTTTTATTTTTTTTTATTTTTTTTTTGTTGCAAAGCTTTCTTAAATATTATGGATGAATAGAATTATTGTGTGTCTTTGGATTTTTGTACATACATATTATGATACAAATATGTAACAATTGTTGGCAAATCCAAGATTTCTAACTAGGGGTAAGTAGGGGTGTCAAAAGACCATCTGACTTCATAAAATAAATTACTTGTGAATGACGCTAAAATGCATCATTTTTTAAGTATAAATTGGTAACAACTAACAATATATGCTATGTACAACTATAAGTACTTCATATTAAAATTCTTTAGAGTTTAGCTTAGGAAAAAACTCTTTAAACAAGTAAATTGTTGTTACAAATCTTACACTGTAATAAGTATATGTTGACTAGTTTAGTTGGTTAATAGCCTAATAACTGGCGGTAGTCTGGTACCTATAATTTGGCCTTGAATGTCTTTTATATAAGTGAGGAAATTCAACTTGATCAGGCTGATTCACAACTTGTGCAAATCAGGGGTTAATTTTGTCTTTTCAGTCATAAATTGTAAGGGTACTCTTGTCAAGTTGTTAGCACAAACATAACTAGGCAAATGTAAGGTTAGTCAAACAAACAGTAATATAAAACCAGAACCTAGAAACCAGAATTTGAAAACCTCACTTCTTCCTTCACGGCACGGCGGCACCATAGCTTATTGCAGTTTAAATTGCTGACGCGAATGGAAGGCTTTCCCTAAGGGGTTGATATGGCCCTAATTTACACTCTTTCCTAGTAGGGTGTTTTTTTGTTTTGCCGCGAAGCGGCCATTGTTGAGGAAGGATAGGACGACAGGAAAAAGAGGAGGACGACGGGAAGGATTTTGTGGGTTTAACCGGCAGAAGGCGGAGAGATGGTGGTGGATCTGATGGGTTTCGGATGGTGGAAGATCTAATGGTACGGTGATGGACCAGATGGCGGCTATGGAGCCTATGGTGGTGCTGGTGTGCTGCAGCCTGCAGGTGGAAGATTGGAGATTCTCAAAAGGAGAAGATGGTTTTAAAAATAAAATAAAAAAAATTAAAAAAACCAGACGTTAGTTAACACCGTAGCCTTCAGCAATATTTAATTAATTTATCTGGTAAGAGGGGCCCACAAAAGCAACTGATTGACAAAGTTTCGGGCCCACAAAAGCAACTGATTGACAAAGTTTCGTCAATCAGGCTGATTGCCTGGGGCGCCCCCTTTGTAAGTACTCCCCTTTAACCTATAAGTCTATAACAAATTACAATTGATTTTATTTGTGTTAAAAATGCGTGTAGGTGAAGCTAAGTTTCCTATACCCAGCAACAACAGGAAGGAACATGGACGAGGTGGTGAGGGTATTGGACTCGCTGCAGAAGGCAACAGAGCACAAGGTTGCCACACCTGTTAACTGGAAACCCGGCGAGAAGGTCGTGATCTCTCCAAGTGTCAACAATGATCAAGCCAAGGAGATGTTTCCTCAAGGGTTTGAGACCACTGATCTTCCTTCCAAGAAGGGCTACCTTCGCTTCACTAAAGTCTAGCCGCATGTCGTCTAGCTTTGTCATGAATATGCAAGCCACAACATCCTAGCATATATATATATGCATGGAAATGTGATGAATATCGGTCTATATGAATAATGTGTTCGTAGTAAGTTACTTTTGACGAGTATGGTATGGTGCTATATATATTATGTTTTTTATAAACGGTAAAAAAAAAAATGTATCTTAATGGCAACCAAACTACAAAGGATTGTTGTAAGTTGTATGGTATGTACCTAAAAGGCCAAAGTAGTTGTCCTTCCTACCTTTTGTGCTACATATAATTATGAAATACGACTATAGAAGTACTACTTTGTTAATGTGTTATGTTATTTTTATTGTTATATGCAGTCGGGTGTATGATGCATTCAAGGGTATTTAATTTGTTTGCTTATTTAATAATAAAATGAGCGAATAATACCCTTATTTACACTTTAGGTGTATATAATAATTTTCTATTAAAAGAGACATTTTAAATTATCTGATTAGCATGTACAACAAAATTATCAATTTTGATAGTATAAACTTACATTGCCATAAAATTTCAAAAACATAGCTAAAGTTGATTAATTTTTGCTCTACGAGTAAAAAAACAAGCTTATGCACGCATGTTTAGATCATTAGAACATTTAAGTTAAGGTTTGGGTGTGAATGGAACACATTAATTGTCAAAAAAAAAGTCAAAAGTGGGGAGAAATTGCGGAATTGCGTCCCTACCTTTACGAAGATAGCGTTGTCTTTTATCTTCTGTTTATTGCAGAGTTTAGATTGAAAATAGGGCACCTTTTTGGCTTCTAGTGTGGCAAGATAGTTCCCAAGCTTGTTTTTGGTTATATGTTCAGATGCAAATTCAGTTCGGGTATGGTTGAGTACTTGAGTTGAGTGGCTAATTGGGCATGCATTTGCTAACAAGATATGGGCCACTCAGTTAAGAGTAATCTTTTAGTTGCACTTAAAATATTATTTCGTATATTTTTTTTTATATAGTGATCGTTTGGTTGCACTTAAGATGTTATTTCGTACTTGTTTCTTACCTTTGCAATTTCTATGTGTTTTCTTAATTGAATGAGTTGTTTTCTTGAGCATTAGAAGTTGTAATTCTTATGGCAAATATATGCATCTAGAGAAGCAACTTATGTCATTTTATAGGAAATAAATCTTCCTTCTAATTAAATTTCACTTATATGCTTATGTCAACCAAATAACCTTTCTAATTTTTATTTCTTAGAAAATTAGAGTTCATATGCATTGTACTCCGTAATATTGTCAACCAAACAACTCTTAAAGCACTACGAGAAAATCATCGCCACTGAATGTAAATGATGTGATAAGTGTTGTTTGTTTGAATGTAAATTTTTATTTTTATTAGAAATATAAACAAAGTTATAAATAATCTTTTGAATCTTATAAAAGATTGAAATGTAAAAATTTTATTCTAAATTGAGAGAGAACAAAATAAACTACTTTTACTTTTTACAATGGTCATGTTTGATAAATGGCTTATTGGGTGGCTTTTTTGTTAGCTTTTGGCTTTTTTATGAGGTTAAACAACCAAAAATTGTGTTTGGTAATTGACTTTTTAGCCAGTGAAAAAGTTGGCTTTTAAGCCAAAATGAAAAACTGCTTTGAGTAGCTTTTTTGTTGGCTTTTGACCCACAAATTATCTAATAAACATCCAACTAATAACAATTAATTTACCAAACACTTTTATAAACAGTCAGCTTTAACAGTCAAATTCAAAAGCCATTATAAACAGCCAAACATACCAGCTGGTCAAACAAGCCAAGTAAATCAGCCAACAGTCAATCGTCAACAACCATTTGCCAAACAAGGCCAATATATTGATTCCCCATGGCCCACATATCAAAGTGGGTTGAGGACAAAAAGAATACACTCCATCAAAGAAACTTTCACAAAGCTCAACGCAACACATATTCATATTATTGCTGTTCTCCAATACCACGACAACCTATATACAAATTCAACACAAATCTATGTAATTTTTCAACTTTTCACCTCTCTTTTACTAGTCTAGCTTAATCATACTAATCCCTTTGTTTCATATGTAATGGTTACACTAGTCGTTCACGCTTGATTAATGTAAAAATCTTGAGTCTATTAACTTGCTAAATTTAATGTACTAGTAAAAAAAATGAAAAATCTATAGTGTTTGAAAAATATATTATGAAACGAAACTAGAAAAGCTTACATAATTACCCTTTATTTACATACGGAGTGATTTACTCCAAACAAATTATTAATTACTCACTCCGTTTTTAAATATTTGTTCCACTTTTCTTTTTCGGTCGTTTTTAAATACTTCTCCATTTTCTTATTTGAAAAGGTTTTACAATATTTAATTACTTTTCCTCACCTAGTGGACCCACTATGAATCATATTCTATTAATTCTATATTCTCTCTCTTCTAATTTTCTCCACTACTTTTGTTTTTTACAATTTTTTTTTCCACCTCCCAGTACCTTCATATTTTATTTTTTTTCTCCAATTTCTCTTAAAACTCCGCTAAGGGAGAAATGAAGCAAGTATTTAAAAAAGGGAGGGAGTAAAACTAAATAAAAAGTGTCAAATTCATAATGCAACCATTATACTAAAACGAGGTTCATACATTGTAAGAACTACTAACTATTACCAGCAATAAAAATTTGATTTCAACAGTTTCTAATAGTGAAATATCCTTTCAAATTCAAAATCTAGTACTAAAAACAAACCCTTTTGATGAGTGGTGAACAATCTCTTTAACAAAATACTCTCAACACTTTTCACACTTTTTAACATTACACTCTCAAACAAGCAATGCATCATCCTCTCCACCCCACATCTTCCCTCACCCTCCTCCTCCTCCTCTTCCTCCACCTCCTCACCCCATCCTCCTCGGAATGCCGCTCGCAATGCGGCACGATACCGATACACTACCCCTTCAGCATCGACGACGGGTGCGGTGCACCGCAGTTCCGCAACATGTTCACATGCAACACCTCGTCAACTTCCCTCTTCTTCATCACACCAAATGGCAACTACAAAGTTCAGTCCGTAGACTATAAGTCACAAACTCTTACGGTTTACGACCCGGATATGTCTACATGTACCGTACTACAACCTCATCATGATGTTCGTCTTACGGATATTCAGTACGCTATTATCCCTCCTTCACCTGATACTGTGTTTGCTTTATTGAACTGCTCTATTGATTCTCCGATTCTTCATCGGTTTAGCTCTCTTTGTTTTGAGTTTGCTGGTCATAAGTGTCAGGAGTTATACTCTTCTTGCAATTCGTTTCGTATTTTTACTACAGGTGGGTTGGTTAACCCTGGTGCAAGTAATAATACTGGTCCTGCAGGGTACTTTTATGGTGGTGGTGGTGGGAATAATAATAATAATTTTGGTTATAATAATAATACTGGCTTTGGTGGTAGTGGCGGCGGCTATGGTGGTGGTGGTGGTAATATGGGGCCAGGAGCGGGAGTGGGTGTGGGAACTGGGGTTGGGCGGGGCCGGGGGTGGGGAAAACTGAGATGGAAGGAGAGCCGGGGGCACCGGTTGGAGAAGGTGGGATGGGGGCGGGACCGGAGGTAGGGACCGGAGCAACAATAATTGGGGGAGGCGGGATGGGAGCTGGACCCCCGGCACCAATTGGAGGAGGTGGGATGGGGCAGGGCCGGGGGTAGGGACGGGGGCACCAATAGGGGGAGGTGGGATGGGGGCGGGGACGGGGGCACCAATTGGGGGAGGTGGGATGGGGGTAGGGACAGGGACGTGGGCACCAGCTGGGGGAAATGGGATGCCCCCGTCCCCATGTTGTTTTACGGGGTATAGCACCCTAAAGGTGATGAGTATGGATATTCTAGATTGTACGCATTTTACAAGTTTTTATGACGTGGATAAATTAAAGGGAGCGTCGCCTATGGATTGGTCGTATGGGTTGAAGTTTAGCTATAGTGTGCCGGATATGGGGTGTGAGAGGTGTACAAAATCAGGAGGGAATTGTGGGTTTGATGTTGAAACTGAAGCCTTGCTCTGCCTTTGCCCTGATTCTAACAACTCTACTAGACAATGTGGTATGTTTAAATTATTGCTTACTCTTCTGTCCTAATTTATGTCATTACTATATTATTTTCATGAACTTCCCACAATTAGCCTTTTAATTTGACTAATTACAATTGAAACTTTGAATTAAATACAATTGTTTCTACTGTTGCTACTTGCTAGTGAACTTTATCCTAGCTAGCGTGCCGGATTTTGATGATTATTGACTTTACTTTAAGAGAGAAAAGGGTTGCTAATAAAATGGCTTCTCCAGATCTCCTGTTGTTTGTGCTTTTACCAATTCCTCATTCACTTGTCCTAACCAAAATGGATTTAAACTCATATAATGAAGTATAAGTTTAATCTATGTAGTACCTCTATTATGCATTCGGGTATATCTAGAGATAGGTTTATTTTAAATACTTGTATATTTTTGCACATTAGAAGATTTCAATTAAGCAAATGAACAAAAAGTTACTTTTTAAATACTAAATCAATCCTACCTAAAAAAAAGTTCCCCTTACATTTTTATATCAAACTTTTGATAATCTAATAATACCTCTGTTAAATGTTATGTGCAACTTTGTGTCATTATTTGTAAGATATTAAAATATTCTAATATTGCACATAATATTGGAGGTATTACTTTATTGCAAATTTGCAATGGTGATTTACAATATAAAACTAATCTATTAATTATATACAAGTACATTTTAATCAAAGCAATATTTTTCTTGACCAAAAATCTTTGTGTATTTTAAAAAACCACAAAGATGGACAGTTTCTTCCCAAGAGAAAGGATTATGTGTATGTGTGTGGGTGTGTATGATATCAAATAATGTTTGATCTATTAATAAGAATTGTACTATCTTACAAGGTTGTGGGATCAATCCTACTTTGCTTGCCAACTAGGGTGATCATAAAAAATAAGCTAATTTCATGAAAATTTAAGGGCTATACTAGTTCAATTTGCAGCTAAAATAGTTAAAAGAAAATTCAAAATAAAATATTGAAGGTCTAGATACATTGTAAATTTGTGATTACTCCGTATTTGTTAATTAATTGATTTAAATTCGGATGGCGGGAACATTAAAAAATAATTAGATATTGAAATTAAAGGGTTGCCAGCAGGTTGGGGGCAACATAATGAAGAGGCCAACATCTAATGCACTTACTAATGCAATTTTACTAATATAATCAAAATAAAAGTGCTAGATAACATGCACATATATTCTTAATATGAGTAATAATTTTGCTTTCTTGCTGGCTGGGTGCAGGTAACGATATGGGTGCTGCTGGTAGTAGTTGGGTGCCATCAATCATACTTCAGGCGATTATTATGTGTTTGGGAGTCCTGCTCCTCTGCTGATGCCCTGTATCAAATATTCAACTCATTATGCAGCTATGCTGCTCACGGTGGTCTAGTCGGATTTAAGTCTTGTTAAATTAGTGTGCCCACACGATCACTTTGGTTTAGGTTGGTTCTAACTAGGGTCGGGTCAGTTTTTGACATTTCTTTGTAAATGTAAGGCATTAAAAAGTTCAAATGTAAACAATTTTGTTCTTAGGCTCTTAGCTAGTACTGTAAAATATAACTGCTATCTACTTTTTTGAACGTATGTTAGTTAACTTCAGTATGTTTCAAGATAATCATTGCTTCTTTCATTGTTAGGTAAGAAACTTGGACTAGATTTGATGCATAAGTAAACCAGACTAATTCATAATTCTAAATTATAGTACGAAATTGTTACATTTTTTATGAAGTGATCGAGTACTAATTCATGGTTACTTAAAACGAAATATCTGATAATACCAATTTCACTAAATACTCCATAATTCATTGTGACTTATGTTTAAAGACTTTAATGGTCAAAAGTCACAAACTTTCAGAACATTTTTTACGATTTTGTATTGAATCTGTTTTATTTGCAGAGCACTATTTAACAACACCTACATCGTGATCAAAATTATAATAAATGGAATATAAAATTAGTATATTATGTACAATTTAATCATGCATCATCTAACAGTACTTGATGTCCATAGTTTACATAATCGTCGCCTTAGTAGATGAATGGTAAGGTCTCAGACATGATGTCCACGGTCCATCTCTCTGCCCCTTGTTCGAATGGTTGCGTTTGTGATGCTGCAGTTTGCTGGACTTCTGAATCAGGTGATACTGCTGGCTCTGCCAGTGGCACGTTTCGTCTATTGATTCCGTCAATCAGCACCAGCATTCTTCTGTACTGTCTTACTGTTGTTCCTTCTTCATCACTAGGCTTATCTGAAAAGAAATTCTCAAAAAATTTAGCACATCATATAATTAAACATTAAAACATACCAACAAAAGTTATTTGAATGTTAGCAAAATAGAGTTTTGGTTGAGTTTTGGGTTCAAAACGTGCATATTTTCATAGCAAACTACCAAACAATAAGAGTAATGCTCACCCCTTGTTAGCAACATAGAGTTTTGGTTCAAAAAGCGCATATTTTTCATAGTGACAACCTATTATAGAGCTATGCATACTCTTTAATTAATCTTTATATATGTGTACACCATAACTTAAACTGAACCACATTATGCTGAAGATGAACAACACACTAACAAATTTTAAAGGGTCACTCCATACCTTCTATTGATGGCGCGGTAGCCTGATTCTGAACTTGAGCCTGAGCCTGAGCCTGAGCCTGAGCCTCGTCAGCAGCAACAAAGGACCATTGAACAAGAGTAGGGGTGACAATGGTGATGAAAGCCCAAACCAAGAATATGAGTACATATGCACCCTTCTTCATTTTTTGTAAGAAATAAGAGGAAAAATGTATGATTTTAGTTGAGAAACCTACGCAAAGGTTTGCAAGTAATAAGGGGAAGTATAATTAGTTGGTAAAAAGAGAGAAGAAAAGAAGGTATCCTTAATGAATTAGCTGGCCATGTCTAAGGAGTATGTTGGTTAGAAAAATCAAGACTCCCTTGCATGATAAGGCAATAATTTTCATTTGTCATCACTAAAGTTTTTTCATTTAACAATTAATGTAGCAATCAATTATGTGGTCGTAGCAGCATAGCTCATAGGACTTTAATTATATACTACTCCGTAGTAGAAAGAATCAAGTGAGGGTTTAATGGTAGAGCTCTCACCTTCTAACTGTGAGTTCGGGTTCAATTTCATCGTCCCAACTTTACAAGTAATGAATTATTTTTTTATGAAAAATCACATAAATAGGTTTTAGTGTATATGATTAAAGTTTTTTTGAATTCTTGTAGCTTGAGAATTTGAGATCCCTTATAAAATTGTGTAAAGAAAAAATAACATTCATCCCTAAATTCCTCTTTTACTCTTTTAAGCTTTACATATTATTCTTTACGTTCTATTTTTGGCTCTACTATTATTTTAATATATATACATATATATATATATATATATATATATATATATATATATATATATATATTAATCACATTCCATTAAAAAAAACAATCATTTAACTCTCATCGCATCCACTTAAACAACAATTAATAATCAAATACTCCGTATTAACTTATTTTCTAAAACTATGCTACATGATAAGTATCAAGAATAGTAATTATACATTTATACTATAGTCTATGAGACGAAAAGAGATAGACTATACACTTTTATATAGGACCATATGATACCCAACATCCCAACGTTTACATAAATGTCATATTATAATGGTTGGAGTTGGTGTGACATTTTTAGTGGGGATTGTCCGACCTTTTTCTTGTATTACATACATATCATTATCGTTACAGCCAAGATTCATCAATATAATGTTCCATCATTCATGATTACTTGATTAGTATTGGTAATTTGGTATTACGCTATTACTCTATAAGATTAGAGAATAAAGTGAAAACTTGACGACAATATTGTTTAACTTAAATAATTGGATACAATCATATATTTTTACTTCTCATCATTTATTTATTTTATATAATTTGCAATATGCTCTTGTATTAATAAAATACGAAAAGCTCTAGTGCAAACCTTATTTTAGCTACTTTGGTTAAGATTCTTGTGATGCCTAAATTAGTAAAGCTGTTGACTTTTGTTAGAATTTATAAATAAACAATTGTACGGGAGAAATTTTAAATTACAGGTATAAGATTACTCTCATTTCTTTTATTTATTTTTTATTTTTTATTTTTTATTTTTTTTATTACAACGTTTAGAATACCATTCGAAAAGAGACATTAACCATATGTATATATACCAATTTATAGAAAAAACATATTTGTATGAGATCATGTTAGATTTCTCTCAATATGTAGTTTCAAATAAGTAACCTTTCAACAATTGAAAATATTGCTCCGAATATCAGTATTATGCATAAAAAATTATGAAAACTCAAATGGGTTAAATATTATGGAATATAGTCTCTACCAGAAATTCATAATCCCCCTAAACTAGGTTTTTTTTTTCTTTTCCTTCTTCCAAAGCCTTGTAAATCCTGTAATAAATCCACAATATCGCAAAAAATCATCGAGAATGAGCAAAAATACCAACTCCAAATATCGAAATTTCACTACACTACTCCAGAAGGTGAGAAATCACACTCTAAGACAACCAAATATTAAGGTGCAAGTGAGGAAGAAGGAATAGGCCTGCCATGCAAATCTACCAAGCCTTTATAAATATGATAATACAATATAATCTAACGCGAGTCAATAATTTCATACAAGTATTCAGCTTCACTCTCATCTAAGTCTGTGGAGGTCCTTTCTTCTCTATATACGAATTCAATATATGCATATGAAATTCGACATATAAATCATCAGAAAAGATATAAAAATCAACTGCAAAAGCTCTAACAACACAGATAATCTCAGCTGTTTCTAGCTCTAATTCTTGCAACACATCAGTCAGGCAGATGTACATAACAGGTACAACTGGATGCTACCGTAGAGTATTAGAGTATAGCTGAAGCGCTCCTGACTGAGCACAAAGATAGTTTCACCCATTTACTGACTCGTCTAATTGCCCATGTTCCAAAGAATCATCCTATTATAGAAAATTGTTAGAAATCGGAAGATGTAAAAACTGGATTATCATTAGAAAATCTCTGAGGCAGTGCTAAGAACTCACTTTAATACACCCATCTACTGAGTCGTCTAATTGTCCACGTTCCAAAGAATCATCCTATTGGAGAAAATTGTTAGAAATCAAATGTAGAAAATGAATTATCATTAGAAAATCTGTGAGGCAACGCTAAGAACTCACTTTAATACAAACATATACGTAATGAACATCTGGACTGGCCCCAATGAAATCTTCCAAGTTTTTCCCCTTCTGATTTAGGGAATAGGTTTTGTAAGCTCCCATTTCTGTTTTTCCTCTTTCACTCCAGGAATTGTTTTTTCTGCATACGCATGTTCGACAAGTGATGTAAAATAGTGAAAACAATAAACTTCTCAGGTAAGCGTAGCGAATAATAAACAACACTTTCTTACAACAGAATGCTCAAGGAAATGTATATTCATAATTCAGCTACAAAACACGCTCCATATGGAATGCTCGACAACAATGAAGTTACGGTTTCAACGTAACTTTTCTTTAAAACAATGTATTGTGTGGTTGAATGGATATCCAAATCTTTTATCTCTATGGACCAGCAGAAAACTAGCAGAAGCAGGGCAAATCCTTTCTATGCTGAAACTCAGTTCATAAGATATACAGATACTCCCTCCGTCCCCTAATGATAGTCCCTTATGGGCAATTTTCACGGGATTAATAACTATAAATAAGAAGTAAAAGTACATAAGAAAGGTAAATTTACATTGGGTATGCAAAATAGTAGAGAAAGAAAGTAATAAAAGTATATGGAAAAACAAACTTTACATGGGAAAATTAAATTTGCACAAATATTGCTGCAAATTGGAGGGAATCTTGATAAAAAAATTAATATCAATGGTTGTTGGAAAAAATAAATGGGGTGAACATTTTGGGACTAAAATTTGGCCAAAAGGGACTATCAATAAGGACGGAGGGAGTATTCTTAAACAGCTAAAACAGCAAAGTCATTATGAACAAACAATACGTAAATGCACTGGATTGATCAGTGAATCTTCACATCACAAAACGCCAACAGAATTTAAGTTTTACAAATATCCCTCATGAGAAGTCCTCTATTGAATTAATCTTATTAATTGTGCTTATTTTAAGTGGAAATAATGTAAAAAAATCCTTATGCATTGATGCAGAGCATTGGAAAAGATAAAGAGGGGTGAAGAAGCCATTTTTTTGTCTTCACTCATTACTATATCTTATGTCTGTCGCGACTCATAAAAGTATTTTGGTACATGTATTAGCGTTAGTATGGTGTGTTATGCCCCAGCACACAGTCTATACTCTATAGAGCTTTGTTCATAAATATTTTTCTTATAGATACACTATTTTAATTGTATCAAAACACACTGCAAGGCAATGTGTAGTTATTAATGTTTCCGCGACTCATAGCTATCTTCTAGCTTAGCTAGTAACTGGCTGCATGAGCACCAAAGCCACCAAAAGCCCTTCAAGTAATTTCTTGAGTCAATAAACATTTTGGCTAGCTTCATATTTAGACACAAATTTTGGTACTTCGGATTGTTTTAGAAATTTTAGGAACATGTCCTAGTGGAAGATAGTTATTACATTTCCTTAGAGAACACAAATTTTTCTTATTGCCTAAGGAATAAGAATATTCTGTTTTAAGGCTAATTTAAGATCCTTTTGCATGTAGGATTGCATTTTCAAAATTTCAGATTATCATCTAGTTCTAGAAGCTAGACCCCCCCCCCCCCCCCCCCACAACAAAAAAAAAAAAAAAAAAACCACCCTTTGGCTTAGTGTTGTGATTTCAATGTCTTTAGTTAGTTGATATTTTCAACTTGCCTTGGACTGGTGAGTGTAAAACCTTTACAATATGAGTTGAAGCTAAAGTCATTATTCCTTAGCTGGCGATTATTCTGTAAAGTATAGCCTTTCCAATTAACACATGTGTCTCATATTGATAAAAGAAGAGAGTTAATCACTTTATAAGGCTAAGGACTACTATGGTTATATGGTTTTGGGATGGAATCTTCTTTGGACTTATGAAGTAGATTCTCTCTCTCCGTTTGGGTTCTGTCTCTCCATATTTATATGCACTTCTTGGTAATATTGTCTTTTGAATAATTGTTAGACCTTGTAACATACTCCTATGCCATATGACTAACTTTTCTTATCAATGATATATGCAACTTCATAGAATGCACTATTATTCTTCAATACATAACAAAATACCAATACTAGTCCGTTTTAAAAATCAATGCTCAACTTACTCCTTAGTCCCAAGCGAAACCATTAAGTTAATATCTTCAAGTACACAATTTACCAAGGTTTTGGCAGGTGAACACAATGGTAACTTCAAGTTTCTATAAATATCAAGCACAGATGTAACAAACCACATTTAATACAGCATGGCTTAAAAAAAATCAAAAAGAGAGAGATAGCTTTAAAAAATTAGACCAAAGTCTCATTTGAAGCAAATCTTACCAATAGATTCCAAAGACTAGATGAGCACATAACATATTTACACAAATAATACAATAAGTATGCAAATGAATATATAATGACCAATAACTGCAAATTTGCAACATAAGAAAGATAAATTTTAGAACATTTTGATAAAGATTCTGCCAACCTATCACATGGAGCTTTATCTTCCACTTGCACGAATTCTTCAGATAACATAAGCGGTATGAGGGTGCTCCATATGTAACCTACAACAGTAAAGAGAATGGTTAGGAGCCTAACAATAGGTATTGAGATAATAATGCTGTATTGATGTGAATGTTGACAAACGACAATAAGACAAATTTCAACTATAGGTACATCTAAAGGATACCGAAAGCAAGGGCTAGTTTGAAAGCCTATATGTGTACTTCCAACAAATTATATTCCAAGATTTTAATGAAGAAAACTTTTAAGAAATAAATCTAACTACAAACAAGAAACGAAAATTTAATATTCAAATAGCATTTAAATCTTTGGTTGAAGGGAAAGGA